CAGCATTATCCTCATCCTCTGGCCACTACTCATCCTGATCAGGACCCTTAGTCCCTGTCTCCAGTCCGTTCTGTGTCTCATACCGGGCAGCAGGATTTTCCTCTATCTCCTCAGCTGTCTCAGCCGGCATCTGCTGAGGCCCATTCCCTTGATCCCCCATTGGTCTTAACCCACCCTTGCTTGTTTTCAATTCAGGTCAGTCTCCTGATGAGGAAGAACCTCTTTCTGTGAATGATCTCTCTCCTCCTGAGTCCCGGCTTTGCCTGTTCCAGTGTGAAATGATACAGGCTGTGGGACTTCCCCTCCTGCTCCTTGCCAGAAGATCAGAATTTCCCCCTCGTTAAAGCGTCGCTTTCCGGGGTCATTGTTTTCTTCCGTTATTCTCTCTTCCCCGAGCTTCTGCTTGATCACATATGCATGGCGGCTATGGACAAAGTAGTCAAAGCCAAAACTTGGCACTGCGGCAATCGTTCTTGCTGCTACGTCAATTTTCCTTGGGGTTATTACGATACTTATCTTTGGGTGCCCGATGCACCTGAAGCGGCCAAAGATTAGATTCATCCAGCTTAGAGCAAGTCCAGTATCACCTTTGCTGACAAGACACTTCAGTGTTTTGAGACAGCACTCAGGGATATTGACCGTGCATCCAGTACTGGTATTCGCTGCATGTCCTTTTTCCTCCTCTTGATTGAATTCTTGTCCGTGCATTTGAGGACTTAGATATTTTTTCTGAGTTTGTTACCATGGCCTTTCATTGCCTTGATGACACCTTGATTACAGGCCTTGAACAATTCACTCCGATTTCTCTTCGAGCTGCATTGCTCATTGGGAGTCTTTTATCTAGGCCATGAATATCCCACATGAGTCAGTAAAATCAGCACTAATTAGAGGCCTTGCCTCGTTTATCAAGGATCTCTTTGCAGGTCAGTATATGAGCCTCTTGGAAAGTGAGGTCAAACGCATTGACAGTGTTCAAAAGATTTCCTTTTGCCAACTGGCCGAGTCTCGCCATAAAGTGTCACATGCAACTACTTCAGGCAGTCTTTGAGGCTCTCATCCACTGCCGCCCTATGATAGTAGGCAAGATAGTAGGCCGGACCGTGTGACAGCCATCACATACATCAACCGCCATGTGGGCACATACTCCCCCACTCTCTGCGTACTTGCCTGGCGGCTACTTCACAGGGCCATGTAACTGTTTGGTTCTTGGCAAAAACATTCCTGGGGTTCAAAACGTCCTTGCTGACACCCTCTCCTGAGGCACAGTTCACCCGTTGTAGTGGACCCTTCAACCGGAGGTCATTCGAGCTCTCTTCCATGCAACCGACAGACCTCATGTGGATCTTTTGAATCTAACTTAAATGCTCAGCATCCAACCTCCTGCAGTCGCTACCCACATCTGCATGGCCTGGGCATGCGATGCCCTGCGCATTCCTGGAACGTTGTCTGGCTTGCGCCTTCCTTCTGATATCACTCATTCCAATGGTGCCGTTGAAGCTAGAATGGAGCAACTGCTGCATCCTCCTTATTGCTCCATTCTGGCTGAGGCAGGTGTGGTTTCCTCGGCTAGTCAGGCTCCTGATTGATGTTCTTCTCCTGCCTCTGCGTCCAGATTTGCTCTTTCAACCCCAGTATTGTCTACTTCTTCTGGACCAGTCCCATCTACACTTAACGTGTTGAATGTTGTCAAACGATCCTTCGAGCAGGCAGGCCTTTTTCAAGACGCTGCCCCCTTGGCTGCCAGAGGCCAACGTCAGTCCACCAGAAAGATCTATGGCAGCCTCTTTAAGTTGTGACTGATTTTCTTCATGCATCCTTTCAACCCCGGTCTTCTCATTTCCACGATTTAGAACTGCCGTTCGGCAATAGCGGCGGTCCATTGTGGCTTTGTTGATGGCTCTTTTATTTCTAACAACTCAGAGATCTACCACCTCCTCAAAGAAATGTTTATTAAACACCCTCCATTGAAGCCACCTGTTCTGTCGTGGTTTCTGGGTGATGTCCAGTGGCTCTTTGCTAAACCTCCCTTTGAGCCAGCAGGCCGCGCCTCCCTCCTTCACCTAAGCATCAAGCTTGCATTCCTACTGGTTGTTGTTACTTCTGTTGTTGATTCTGAAATTAGGGCCCTCTCCATAGCTGACGGCCACATCCAATGGGAGCCACTGGGTGTGCATTTCATCCAGGACTTAGGTTTCCTCACTAAAAATCAGACTACATCCTTCCCAACCTCCAGACATCTTTGTTCTAGCAATGCAGTCCTTGGCAGCATCCTTTTCAGACAAGCTCTGGTGTCCTGTCGGCATGCTGACGTGGTACCTTAATCGGACGAAGGACATCCGGGAACAGTCTCACAACTATTCATCACATCCACCAGACCCTATTGTCTAGCTTCCAGCGATACGATTGCGAGGGGGGTGGTTTTGGCTATTAAGTTTGGTAATGTTCACTGGCCTACTAGCCCAGATGACCAATGTAGACGACATATTTGATGTCCATGATGTCCGAGCAGTTTAATCTTCCTGGGCTTATTTCAAGGGGGTTTCTGTGATTAATATTTGTAAAGCTGCCTGTTGGAAGACCCCTACCACATTCACCTCCTGTTATCTCAGTGATGTTTTGCAGGGGGACCGTGCACATGGACTGGCTGCACTCAGGACGGCATAGCAGTAGCTCAACTGCTGGCCATCCCCTCTCCTTACAAGAGCATACACTCAAGCAATTACTGTGGTGAGTATGGATTGTGTTTTTCTCAATTTGATTTGTGCTCTATGTGTATGTATTTGTATCTCACACTAACCTCATTTGCCTCCTTAGTTGTGGCTGGATGTTGGTGTGTCCTCGCCTTCCCACCGTCCATTGGTTCGGTGCCATTCTTCATATATATTGGTAATCTGCGTGGGTTGTAAGCAGTAGACTCTCCCCCACCTAGAGTGGGACGAGTCTACTACTGCACACCTACCAGATAATGAATTATCCTCCCTCCTGCCTTTTCAGCCTCAGCACGCTTTACGGTATGAAAAAGAGGAAGATTCATGATGGCTGCTTTATGGGGTTGAGTGAATGAGGGCGGTAAGTTGGTATGCTGTCGTGGACTCAACCCACTCTAGGTTGGGGGAGATTTCAGAGGGTGACAAGATTTTTAAAGAGAAATTCATTTTATGATGTAACCAACACTGACACAAATTTCATGTAGTAGCCCTTATGAGTGAGCCCTACGTTAGCATACTCGGCCAACTACTAGTAGGGTAAAGAACCAGAAAGAGGTGTGTTATGGTGCTCATATGGATTGCAATGAGGTCATTAGTGCATATTTATCCCGTGGGAGGGTAAGTGACCAGATGAGGATCCTATATATATTTCTAGAGGCTGCAGACCAAGGGAAATATGACCCACTTGTCACAGTCCAGAAGGGAGCACAGACAAGTTATGCTAGTCCATGTGTGTTTTATAACATCTGTCCAGAATGAAAATGGAACTTTCAGGTTTGTATAACTGCCCCAATCTAATTCAACCATTAATTCTTGATCAATTCAACAAGCAATTTAACAATTAAGGCATGCTTTTAATTTTCCCCAGAGGCAGTTTCTGAGTTGCTGTTCACTGTCAGCATCATGTTAAGGCACTGTAACCAGTACAGAAATTGGGTACTGTACTCTGGAACTCACATGTACATGTACATAAGCTCCCATACCGTAGTTGTGGGCACATACACTCAACATTGTTACGTGCGGAGAATGCATGGCAGAAGAAAAATCAAAAGACGGGAACCAGGACACAAAAAATACGAGCAAAGAACAATAAAGGAACTAATTTGGAATAACATTTAATTATAAACTTAAATCAGCAAAGCAGTACATTAAAACAAATTAAGTCTAGTGGTTTGCTGCAACTTAAACTTCTCATGCAAGAACACCATGAATTTGAACAGTCAAAAGCATATAAGCAAATTATTTACATTAGCACAGCCAAGCACAATTAATTTCGATGAAAATTAGCAAGTTGGCAAAAAAACGTATTAATACGCAAAGAGGCAAATTATATTCGGCGGAGTATAATTACCTAAAGAAGCCAACACAAGAGAGGAAGAAAATTAGGCCCCACCCAGACAGTGCCATGGCTAAAAGAGCGTGGTCGTTGGGCCAAGCACCTCCACACTCCGTGCCAGAACAGCCCAGTTCAGACAGGTAGGTCAGTGTCAATCCCCGAGATTCGGCTTCCACGTGGAGCCACGACACTCCAAAATCCACGGTCCCTCAGCGGTGTCAGCCTTGGCCACGGTCCAGCGGTAAAGAGGAGAAGACGACAAGGAGGTGCTGACCCAATGCCAGCTATTTTGGAATGCACATGCTAAAAGCATATAGGCACTGGCTGAGAGCAAAATCAATGACTACGGAGTCTTTTATAGGTTTTTTGGAACATGCGTAAATTCCACACGTACCTTTTCGGGGAGACACAAAAGGATTTGGATCAACTGGGATAGTAACAACATGTCACCTATTTTGTGGGTACTGAAAACGTTGTGGAGACTCAGAAATGTCCCCACAACTTGGTTCAAATTTCCCTTACAAAAGAACTAGTCCTCTGAATGCGGTGAATGCCTACCCATGAATGTGTGTGCAGTGTCTTCACATGCACCCAATTAATGCTGATGCAAATTTTATGTGCCAGCCCATTTTTATAGTAAACCCAGCTTGACCCTTTTTCAGCCAAACAGGATAAAGAACCAGCAAGAGGTGTGTTAAAAATGCACATACTGTATAAATTTCAGCTTTTGCATGTGTATTGAGATTTCAGAGACAATTCTTCCTCAATTTATTAAAAACAGTTTTATTGCCGCTCTGTGTATATATATATTGCCCCCCACACACACAAAGTGTACACAACGTCAACTTCATGGACCACTTTTAGAACTCAAGATGTCTCTTCTCAGACATCCATATTTAGAAGTGCCCCACCATTTACATGTACAATCAAAGCAGTTCTTTACCTGTGGTTTCCAGGGTATCATTCAAGGGGTGTCTGGAACACAAGCAAGCGTCAGTACAACAGATAATACACTAGTTGGACTACCTTCGTTGTCTGGTGAGTTTTTCTGTTTGTATAAATTGTTCAAAAATAACAGTTAAACAAAGGGTGTTTTCAAGCAGCCTCTTTCAGGTAATCCAGATGCCTTTTCAGTCCTCTTTCACGTTTCTTTCAGAATAGCCTACCAGTCCTGTTTCAGTTTCTTTCAGGATAGGTTACCACACGTATGTTCACCCAGCGCTGCCGCTGTATCATTTTAGTGAATACATATGATCGTATAGGGTGGCGCATGACAGGGGTAGCCATAATCCGGTCCTGTCTCCTGCGACTACAGCTTTTGAATTTTGAGCAAAAGAGGCAGTGGTGAAGAGCTGTAGCCAGTGTTTGATACTGGTGTATGCTGTTGTCTCAAATGGAGACGCCACCCCGTTAGTTGCCAACATAGAGTGCAACATAAACTGTTGGAAAATATTTCTTGTAGGGGTTTTCCTGAACATATTCCCCACATATATATTTGCAGTGCACATTTGAAATGGCACACATGATAAAGCCTAAAGTGCAAAAGTGTTTATAAAAGAGAAGAGCCATTTCATGCAACATCGTCATCAAAAGCGAGTATCGAGTCTTGACATATCGTAACCGATTTTTATCAACACCATTAAACCCTACTGAGTTTTACATTATTTAAATATCAACTAGACTTCGGGTTAGGCAATGAATTGCTGTGACAGTAAAATTACAGTGAGCCAGATTTTTAAGTCTGTGAATCTGGCTTTAAAAAACTTGCAAGCTAATGACCATCAGGATGGCCTTCAATTCAACGCTGGCTTCATGTTTATGTGTTTCACATTCTTGGGAAAATGCCAGGTACAAAAAATTATGATTTATTTTACACGAAGAGAGCAAATAAACAAATTTTCACTGCCTCTTTCAGGATATCCTACCAGTATTCTTCCAGCTGCCTCTTTCAGGATGAGCTTACCCAGGTCTTCCACTTATTTCTTGCAGAATAGCCTACCAGTTCTCTTCCAGCTGCCTTTTTTTAGGATAGCTTATCTGTCCTCTTTAAGTCATTCATGGAACAAAGTTGTTCATGCAATTGCCAGAATTCCGGCTTTCTCGTATTTTTTTTGTGAATAAAAACACTGGCCTTCCTCATTTGTGTGCCTGCACAACAACATTGTTAACATGGGAATTTTTAAACCAGTGCGAAAACTTTCAAAAGATACAGCATTTTTAATCTCCGGTGTTCGGTTATACATGTATGTGTTATTCAAGGATTTGATAAAATCATAGTGTAGGGCACTGTATAAGCAGTGTCCTTTGAAATACATGTATATGGAGATACAACCTGTGAGGAGCTGACTTTGTCAGTTCCCATGCAACTTGTGTTGGCCCAAGTGCATCGTGCATCAAATGGTTTTGCGAAGGGTTGCATGCAACATGTACATAACATGATGGAATAACAAGGCATAGGCATCATTTCATGTATTACAGTTGGACATTGCGTTAAGTTTTGATTTCTAAATGTGTCAAAACGAGCACCATGTGTTTATACGCATAGCCGGGGTTTCCAAAATTGGAAAAAGGGAACTGGGCCTTGAGTAGGTATAGAGGCCGATTTCAGTCCAGCTTTTCCCCTGGGTACCTATCTGACCCCCTCGGCCATCCTTGACTCCCCAAAAAATTTAAAAAATTCTCCTTTTGCCACCCCCGTTCCATTACGCAAAACCAGTCATAGAGCACAGATCCTGGCTAGCCGTCTATGCCACAACGGTGAAATCTAACCTCGTGGCGCGAGCTAACCAAGATGTGCAATGCCAAAAGCATTTGTTATAAAAACTGGTCAGTGAGGAGTACAGTCTCGAAACTTGGCCCACGTCTCTGTTTTGTGCTGAATTATATGGTTTGATCTGAGAAAAAAAAATTGGCATCTAGGAAAAAAACGAAAAAATTTAACAACATTTAATAAAAATCAGAAATATGTCAACCCAAATTTACATCATAACCGATGACCACGAACATCTCAATGCCAACAACAGCGATCCCAATGTTGTTTACAGACCGTTTGATTCAAATCAACTCATTATTTCAAAACCCGTGATAAAAGAAGGTACTAATGTATCTCAGGGCTATTCCCCCATTTATTATAATCATGACTGTCAAGAAAAACGTCTGGTGATTATGATGACAGACACGACTTGTTACGGCATAAATCCCCTGTATAAATACGGCACGTGGGATAAAACTGCCGATAAAATCGTTGGTCAGCAAATCTGTTATCAACTACAAAAGCCCATGATGCGTATACTCAATGATATAAATTTGGCAGCTTACGAGTTCATTGAAATGCAAGCTGCTGCAAAGTCGAACATACCATCAATTTCCATTAATGCTTATAAAGCCAGTTGTGATATCGAAGATTTAAACCGGGTAGAATACATCGTTAAACCACCTTATACAAATGTATGTTAAAATAGATTCTTATGGTGCTTTATTTGACCACCCGTTACATCATCGAATATTGAGAAATTTACAAATAAACGATGTGATGCCCAATTGTTTATTTATCCCAAAGAAAATACAGAACTTACGGTTCGCTGTCTTGCAGTACCAGTGTTTGATATAAAATAGCAACAGCCATGTTGAAAATTAGAAATGACGGCAATATTTCGAATAAAGCGGCATTGCAAGCATTTAGAGGATTTGATGATAAAGAATCAGAATCGGAATCAGAATAAAAAATGCCCGTGAAATTAAACATGGATTAAACTTTTGAATTATTTTAAGCCTCAGTTGTCCTTGGGATAACAGAGATTAATTTTATGTCACTTAAATAATATAAACGTTTTAAAAACAACGAACAATTATTTACCATCAGACGAACGAGATTTATTTGTTTTGTTTGGTCAAAAACCAGCGTGTATTAAAAACCAAAGAAGACACATGCCCTCACATTGATAAAAAAATAGAAGACGTATTTGTCAATTGCCATGATTGCTGTATAAGGTTGTCCCCTTATTCAGATTTTGAAGCGGACAACGTAGGCGGTAAATACAATCAGCGTTTCGTTTACAAAAAGACAAACAAAATATTTAAAGAATTAGACGTCAATTTAACTAGCAAACAAGCAGGTCTCATAGAAAACAGATTAAATCAAATTTTAGCAGGCAAGATTTCCAGAGGCAAACCGCTGAGGGTGTTGGTGGCAGTCTGCTATCAAGACGTGACAAAAGAAACTGTAGATAAAGTAAAAGAACTGTTCAAGATCTCGGCGAAACATTACAATGATGCCGTCAGTAAATTTAGTTTATTATAAAACATGCCAATAAATCATATAGAAACACATACATTTTATTTATCCACAAATCCACAGATGTTTAAATGGAAAAACGTTATTGATAATACAAAAGGCGACAAAGTCATAGTTAAAAACATATTGTTTGAACAGGGGTATAGGTTGGAATAAGACAAACTTGCGTACATCTATTGCCCTCAGTTGGATAGTAACGTCAGTTTTTACAATGGGCAGTTGTTGGTCGTTGTTGCAAGTGGTATCGACAAAAAAATATTTCTGCAGTGATTTTGAAACAGTTAGAAAACTAAAAAGCAGAAATATCAATGAATTTTATGGCAAGTCCGAGTCAGGAAGGTTTTTGCAAAATGAAAACAATGGATTAATTATTGAATTAAACATTTTAACCTCGTAAAATAAAATGTATATTTTAAAAAGATGACAACAAAACGTCGAGTTGAATATGTATCCAGACTTGAGTGGGTATCCAAACAGTTCCGAAGCAATTAAAGTTTACAAAAAGATCAAACGGCTAGGATTAACTGCGCTACATTACGTGGAATATGCAACTGAAGCAATAGGTGCTACTTCAGCCACTCTAGGCATTCCCGTGCTATTGGGGGTAGTAACAGCATCTGTCAGGCTCGTGATGGAAGGCATTGCCATTGGTGCATTTGGAGCATACGCTTTATTGAAGTACTCCAGTCAGAGGTTGTCTCACAAAACCAAACAGCACGATCACTTAAGAATGCTTGCAGATGCCAAGCTAAACACCATCGACGAGTATGTCTCACATGCTATCGAAGACGGCGACGTGTCCCAAGAAGAATTTGTTTTGATTTTGTCCGAACTTAGGAAATTTAACGAGTTAAAAGAAAAGATACAGGCAAACACAATGACTAAATTTCAAGAAACTAAAACAATGGACAAAGCTGAATTTGACCGTCAAGTGCAAGCCAAAGCTGAGACTTTAGCCAATGAAAGGGCAGCAGTTTTTAAAGAAGACCTTATGAAAAAACTTGGCGAATAACGCTGACCAGATCTGTCCAATACCAGGAACCGCCTCCTGCCTATGAAACTGTGAAACCCACCGCGCCTGCTTTTTAGAATCAATTTATTATAAAACAGATGGGCACCAACTTTAGTCAGTTATCAGTAGTTGTTAATAAAGATTACTACTTTTCTGTTGTGTTTCCCAATTTAAACTTGGGGTATAAGTTACTGAGAGTGAAAACAGATGAAGCCGTTAACCGTTGGACAACAGATCCCATATCATTTTGTCAAAACCAATTTAATTTCGATCTATTGCGCGACAACAGCATGTGGAGTAGGATTTGACATATCCGATCCGAACCCATACGTGTCTGCGCTGTTTAATTTTCACATTTACTATATGGTAAGAAAAATATTTTACAACTGCATGATGCCTATACCGAGTGACAAAATATTTGACGCGTTGCATAATAATTATGACCATCGGAAATTTACAGACACCTGCCGATTGTTTAACATTGACCAAAATAAATCGTTTAAACATACTAGAGATACTATATCAAACGGGTTAGGAACCGCTTATTATTACGACAATAGCTATATACCAGTCCCCAGCAAACACTACGATGCCCATTATTTACATCTTGCCTCTGGCAAATATGCAGGCTCTACTTACATGTATATGGGCTTCGGGTGGGAAGGCTCAGGCCACGCAAGCACGTACACTGTGACATGGATTACACAGTCTGATGTAGTTAAATTAGCCTGGTGGGATTTCGTATCAAAAAAGAGTAAACTTACGGACGTGGGGCTCAAACAAAAACGAGCGTTATGGCACAAGGCACAGGATTAGATGCCCAACAGCAGTTTATACCTATCATGGAATGTTTGATAAACTCGGAGCCCGACCTCGAACAGTCAATTGACCAGTTTTAAGATTCGTTGCAGTATGTAAAAAACGCTGTTGAATTTCGGGCTGGCACCTAGTTTATATTTTGGTGCCTTTGGATATGGAACATTTGAAGGATACAACAACCACCTTCAAATTGCGACAGCTGGCATGCAGATGGGTTATGTTCCAACTTTAAACTGTAGCGCAGTGCCAGAGACATCAGATTTTGATGATTCAGAAAGTAAAGAAGTTTTAGAGTCGGAACCTACTCCAAATATAAAGCCCAATACCACCTCAAGAAACCGTTAGACTTTCACAATGAAGTGAAATTGTCGTTAACTGTTGGGACGATTGCCGTTGCTGGACTTACCGTTATGTTGTACAAGGTACTAACTTAGACTAAAAAATGAAAGGCATAAAAAACCTCATTTCAAAATTGAGAAAAGGTTAATTTTTTTGCCCACTTACATCTTTAGCACGTAAGTCAGAATCAAAACACCTACGCCTACAAACAACGTCCAAACGTTACTAGCGATCCAACCGACTGCCTTGCTTGCCACGTGAAATATCCAACTTAGTATACTATCAATGATGCCGCATAATGCCCCAAGCGCTTTCAGGCCTAATTTCTTCAATATGTTTGCTAAATGTTGCAGTTGTCATTTGATCCTATTGGTTACACCGCCTTTAAATGGAGGTTCTGGTTCCGGTGCTTGAGCTTTCACCTAAGGTTGCGTGGGTGCTTTTACTTCGGAGGGTTTCTTCTTTAAATACAATGCTAGTGCTATTTCTCTGACCACTAGTCCGCCAAAAATTAAATTTCTGGTTTTTTCAATAAATTGATAGATCTCACTTTCAGATTTTGTTTTGGGTTCTGGCCCACCGACTTTCAATCGGGGCAATTGCTGTTTCATCTTATTATGTTCCGCCAATCGTTGACCCTGTGCTACTCGATTGGGATTTTGAATCTTTGTCACCATTTGGATTTGACTCTTCACAGGGCTCGGTGCTGGCGTTGAGGGTGGTTGTTTTTCTGTTGACATCTTCTTTTACAACAGTAGGACTTTCATAAATAGCCAACTGTTTCATTGTTATAGAGGTAACTACCAGTAGTGATATTGTGGCAAAACAGGGTAGCTGCGCAGACTTGTGTTTAGTCTGGGTCATTAATAATTCAGGCGCGTCTAATTCATGCATTAAACATGCGCGCAGCAACCAATCAGAGGCGTGCGTTACCTTAGGTCAGGGCGCTGGCTGCGTGGGTTGCCGGGACTTCTCAAGATGGCAGCGTGCTAACCAGAGCTCTGTGGAGTTGTGTTGTGTTTCGCGAGTAAATCTGACGTACGACCGCTGGTGGTTGGGGATCTACCTCAAGTGTACCTGGTGCGATCACGGACGTATATAAAAAAAAAACCTGGACTT